TGTTCCCCAGGAGTTGCATGTGCTCTGAGATGGGGCTTTTGGAAGGGGATTGGATTATAGGGTGCTGGAGCGACATTGCTGTGAGGTGGGCCTGGTCAGAAGAGGTGGTTCCCTGGGATCCTGACCTCGAAGGGTATATCTGCCTGTCCACCTCCCCCTTTCTCTCTGCTTCATGGTTGCCATGACATGAGCAGCTTTATTCTGCCAGACTCTTCCACCATGTTCTTCCTGGCTTGGAGCAAGCCTAGATTGAAGATGTGAGCCAAAATGAATCTCCCCACCTTTAAATTATGGGTGCCAGGTATTTTTAAAGTCACCCTCATGAAAGTGACTAAGACAAATTTTGGTGCCAGGAAAATAAGGCTGTTGCTATGGCTGTGCCTGGCCATGTGGTTCAGAAGCCCTTGGAACTGGTTCATGGGTGGAGTGTAGAAAGGTCTGGAGATGCCAGCTGGAAAAGCCCAAGAATATGTAAGCCAAACTTTGATGGGAGATACTAGTCAGAACTCAGAAGACCAGAAAACTGACAGAATGCACATAGTAAAGGCCAGGTTCAGGTTGTTTCATTTGGAAAAAAAGAGGCCACTGGAGATGGGTACAGAGGCTATGTGTGTTACGTTTTGGCAGAAAATTTGTCTACATTTTGTGCATGTTCTAAGTCTGAGATTATGGTGGCAGACTAATTAGTCTGACAGCAGATTTCAGAGTAGACCAGTGTTCAGGCTCTGGCAAGAGTACTGCTTGCTACTTTTAGCCAGATCTACAGTAAATATCAGGGGCAGATGGCAGAGCCAAAAGGTATAGAAGCTTTCCAGTTTCATCAGAAAGGAAATATCTGCAAAGTTGAGGCCTGAGAGAGCATGGTTGATAAGAGGACTAGCATTAAAAGCAAGCCAAGTATTTTGCATCAAGACAATAGGAAAGATGCCTTGAAGCTATCTCAGGAATCAGCAAAACTCCACTCCTTGCAGGCTCAGAGTTGTAAAAGAGTCAAAGTAAACTCCTTTAAGAGTAAAAGTAGCTGGGGATATAGCTCAGCAGCACAAGTGCCTCCCTGGCAAGCACGAGGTCGCAAGTTTGATTCCGGGTACCAAAAAAAAGAATAAGAGTGAACTCCTTTAAAAGACTGCTTTGAGTAGAGAGTGCCAGGGAACCCTGCTGAAGAAGGACCACCTAGGGAACTACTTCCCCAGTATTTGGTTTACACTGTTCAGCCATCCAGGCACATAGAGGCCTTTGGAGCTATGACCTAGGGAGGTCCAGCTACTGCTTCAGCTGGTAGAAGAGCTTGGCATCATCCAGGTGGTGCTCGTTATACGCATACCGAATGCAAGCACTGTATAGTCGTGGAGGTTACCACCCAGATTTCAGTAGGCTTGTGAGGCCAAGCAGTGTGTCCGTTAGAGGCCAGTATGTAAAGCTGTGAGAGTGAAAACAAAAGTGCAGTGGGGAGCCCAGGAGTGTAAAGACACTAGGAATGTGTCATGTCTGCTAAGAAATGCTGTAGGCAGTGACTGGAGCCACCCTAAGGACGAGATCTTTAGGGATACCACCAACAATCCCAGAGGGGCAGGGCCTCCTCAGCCATTTGGAACTCACACAACACCACAACTTTCCATGGGTGCTGTGCACAGAGGTACAGGACTTAATGTTTGCTCTACTGGGTCTCTGTCTTGCTTTGGTGTGATTCCTTTCTATCCCCCGTTCCTCCCTTTTGGAATGGGACTGTTTACCCTGTGGCATTGTATATCAGTAATATAACTTACTTTCTTATTGTTAAAGGGGTTCATAGCTAAGAGTTTATCTTAGGTCTTAGAGGAGAATTTGGTCATGGACTTTTTAGCAATACTGGAACTGATGAGACTTTGGCAACTCCTAGAGATAGACAAAATGCATTTTGCATAAAGAGATAAACATGTATCTTTAGGGGAGATGTTTAGAGGCAGAATGTCATCATTCAGATCCAGAATATCGCCAAAAGCCTCATGTTTGTAAAGCGAGTTATAGCTAAATGTGCTATTAGGAGGTAGGGCCTGGTCAGAAGAGGCTGGTCACTGGAGGCATGAGCTGGAAGTGTCTATCTCCCTCTCCAGCTCATCCCTACTCTGTTTCCTGGTCACCTTGATGGAGCAGCTTTTCTTCACTATGCCCCTCTACCATGCTCTTTCTACCTTGGAACTAGCCAACCATGGACAGAAAACAGGAGCGGAAATAAACCTTTCTTCTTTAAGTTGTGACTGCTGGGTACTGTAGTAACTAAGACATTTAGCTATTTGGTGAAGTTGTTTAGTATAGTATCCAGCAAAATTGTAAGTACTCCATGTCAGCTGTTCCATATAAAGGGATAGCTACTAACAGGTTGATTAACCTATAGGCTTATTTCAGAAATAAACAGTGAATTCATTTTGGACAGATGCTGGGAATGAAGTTACATTCTTGATGTGTTGATTTTCAGATGCGCAGGCGGAGAATTCTTGAAAATCCAGGGCATTGATGTCTCACCTTGGGGACTGTGGCAGAATCTTCTGGGTTTGACTGTAATGATGTTTTTCTTCCTCTTTATTACCTTCCTAAGATTAGCATGTCTTGTAAAACATTTCTAATTTTCCCTTAAATTTATTATGAGTTATCATCATATTAAAAAGAAGCTCTTCTATTTACTTTAAATCCAATAATGACTTTGTGTTGTCTGCAGTTCATTTGCCATCACACTGATGCTCACCAAATGTCATTTCAATAGAACCATCCAGAAATGTCACAATAACCTGAATTGTAGGTGGAAGAACCCAAGCCAAAAACTAATGACACTATGTATGGCACATTAGTTCACTGTATCAGACAATACCCAGGGAGAGGAAACGAGTCTAATTTCCTGAACTGAGAAAGAAGAATTCAATTCTAGAAACACATGACAAGTTACTAATACCACTGGAATCAGTTGTTGAAATGATATTTTAGAAACAATGAAGCAAAGAAGCACATTAGTAGAGGCTCCCTTCCCACTGAAAGACCTCCCTTTCCTGCTGCTTGCTGTTGCTCCAAGGGAACTAGAAAACATGTAAACACTGATGCAAGCTTCATCTCAGGTTAGACACGATGGCAAGAAATGCTTCCTGGGGCAGGAGACATTCCATGCTGACACGAAGCAGGCCTTCCTGAAGCCCACACCTTTCAGAGCATAACGCCCTTCTTCTCAGATGCTGCACCAGAGAGCACCATAATTCCCACTCTTTTCAGTAGTGAGTGAAGCGCAGCTCCAAGCTCCTCCACTTGTTTCATCATTCATCGTCTCTTGAGTACCATAAATACTTATTGAGAGCCTGCGGGAGGTAAGGCTCTTTTCTCAGGACTGATGCCACAGCCATGTCTAACACTTCAAAAATGTTTTCCTAGCCTTATGAAGTCGTCATGTGGTAAAGAGATAAACAATTAACCATAAAGGAGTCAATTAATTGCTTAATTGTAGGCAGAGGAGTTCTATAAAGATAAAATGGAGCTAAAATCCAAATTACTGACTTATATGAAGGATCTGTGAAGGCTTCTTTGATGACGTAGTGTTATGCCTGAGATCTGAAGTATGGTAGGAATTTGGAATTTATTTGTACTGTTGGTCTCAGAACAAAGAATTTGCTTTGATAATTTCCAGTAAAATTTGCTCTTCAGAGCTAATGAAAAAAAGTTCTAGCTTAATAACTAATGTAATACCTTAATAATATGTTATTAAGATGCTTAATAATTAAGATGCTTAATAAGATGCTTAATAACTTCTTTTATGATGCCAACGAGGAATATCCTTTGTTCCATCTTCCTTCTGAAATGGTGGGAAGGTAAGAAGCCAAGGGTAGAGAGAGAACTATTTCAATTCT